CTCCCAGCCCTGTACCCCTTCCTATACCCCTCCTCCAGGCCAGAATCCTGTCCTGCACCCATAAACCCTCCCATACCCTGTACTCCATTCCTCTGCCCCAGGTCACAACCCCCTCCTTCACCCAAACTCCCACTCAGATTCCACACCCTCCCCTGCACCCCAGTTCCCTACCCTGAGCTCCCTTCTGCACCCAACTTCATTCCAAGACCCTGCATCTCCTCCATAGAAGTGCACATCTGCCGCTACATCAGGGGCTCATATAACTGCACAGCCACTAATGTGATCTATGCCATCAAGAGCCAGCAATGACCCACTGCCATGGATATTGGCCAAACCGGACAGTCTCTACAAGAAAGAATTAATGGACACAAATCAGATATCCGAAAAGGCAACACACAGTAGAAACCTGTTGGAGAACACTTTAATCTGCCCGGGTTCTCATTAATGGATCTCCAAGTCACCCTGTGGTTTCGGGCCAATGCCATAAGCCAAATACAGGGAATCCTTGAAACTTAACTTCATTTACAGGTTTGGGACCCATCGCACAGGTAAGAATAAAGAGATTACCTGGCTAGCACATTGCCTTCCACACCCTAATGACTTAACCAACCAAACAATAGGTTCTTAAGAACAATTTGCACTTTCTCGATCAGCTTCATGAACACTGTAATTCACCATTTTTTCTCTTCCTTCCCCATCCCCATCCTCTATTAATTTTGGATCTGGACCTTTAATAATTCGGTCATCAGAATGGGTGTGAGGGTGGGAGCATTTGCACTACAAAACCCAAATGCTGGCACCCACCTGTGTCCGCCTCAAGGCAGCTCCCATGGTAGTAGCAGCAAGAGGTTCTAGAACCAGCTTGTGACCTCACAGGGGTAGGACGGGTGCCTCCCAGGACTCCATCATGCCTCCCTGCTGGGATCCCAGACCTGGGAGCTGCCAGGGCCAAAGCAGAAATAGCAGCAAAGCTCCGGCTCCCCCGGTGCACAGGAAAGCATCTGGCACTCCTTGCTAGTTGTGCTGCGGAGACACAAGGTGGCAGGGACAGGCAGTGAGGTCAGCTCGTCAAAATGTAGCCAGGGAAAGGTCAGTGCCTCTCCTGGGCATCTCCTTCTCAGTCTTCAATTATGGGGTGCTGGGATTGCTACAGCCCATGTCCCTAGCTGGCTGACTGGTGGTGCATCCAACGAAGTGAATGATTAACGCCCCATACCCATCAGAGGGGCCCCCCCAGGGTGGAGGAGAGAGCTTGGCAGCCTGTGCTGAAAGAACAGTGTAAGGTTCATAAGGAATTGGCTCAAACCTAAGGGAGCCTCCTTCTATATCACAGGGAAGCAAGTCAGCAGTTGTCTGGGGCTGGCAGGCTCATTCCATGGCACTGGCCCGTCAGCCCCCTCAGACCCTGTAGAAGGGCGCCATGCCCCAGAGATTCCACACAGTGACTAACCTCACCCTGCTGACACCCATTCTGGGTTCTATCTCCAGCTGGTGCTGGTGGGTGGCTGTGGTTGGCGCGCTGGGTGCTCTGCCAGTTGAGGCCACTGGTGCGGAACCATCCCACGTTCTAGCTCATTGGTGTGAGCAAGGGGAGAAGCAGCTCCTGTCCCATGCAGCACCCCCACTGGCTACTGTTAACATGCCCGGCTCCAGTGCCTGCCTTGGGGGGCAGTGTTAGTGCCAATGTCACGCTGCTGGTTGGCAGCTAAAATTAATGGTAAAATAGATTTGGATGGTTCCTCTGAGCACCAGGGCATTATGGGACCAAGGCTTCAGCCCTGGCAGCAGCTGATTCTGCAGGGCTCTCTTCCCTGTCCCATGCAGCACAAGAGAAAGAGGGCAGGCCCCGGGGTTTGCAAACACCCTCTGCCCCAACACTTGCCTGCCATAACGTACTTGGCAGGCTTTGGAGTGAAGAAGTCCCTACAGCAGACCATGTGCAGTGTGTAAAGTGATTTGGTATCTGTTATGTGCCTCTGGCTGGCTGGGCATTTCATAGGCCTGAGGTTTGGATGGAAAATGCTGTTCCCACAAAATCAGATTGGTTCACAGAACAGTGTTTGGTTTTGACAAATGTTTGACTGGTTGTGCTGGAAAAATCAAAATGTTTTCGCAGGACAACTGGTGTGTCTGGCTGTACCAACCCAGCCCTGGCAGTGGCCTTTGGACAGGGCAGCTGGTCACCAGAACTGGGCAAAAGGCAGCTCTTGGGAACCCCCATTTCTGTGGCTTAATTAGTCCCTGGAATAAATTAGGGAACTGTTCTGCATCAGAAATATTAGCAAACTACTGAAATCCCAGCATGCTTTGGGTATGGCGCTTCCTGTCTCCAACCCCCCTTCTTGTCCCCATATGGAAGTTTGCCTCTTGCGGTCATTTCACTGAAAAGTGGGAGAAACCCACCATCCTGGAGTTGGGTTTTTCCTCTGAATGTTGGCACCCTAGAAAAATTCTGGACCTTAAGGCATTATTAGCATTGGCTCATAGGTTCAAGGCTCCTCTCTGAAATGCCTCTGCCAGGCCAAAGGGAGGAGACTAAATAATAGCTGGGATGCAGGTCTGTCAGTGGGTGCCCATCAGTTATGAGAGGCTCTGGAGGTGGCTAGGAATCATGGGGTGTAAAACAGCTGAGTGGACAAGGGGAATTCATAAGAATCGTGTAGCTGGTATAAGTGGGTAGAACAAGTGTCTGGGAATGTGGGCCTCAGTCTGAGGTCTGCCACTGACTCCCTGTGGGCTTGGGGCAGGTGGCTCACCCTGCTCTGCCTCACTTTCCTCAGCAGTGGAGGGGGGTGAATGTGCCACGGCCCAGGTACCTTGTGAGACATGATTTGTGTGTGTGTAGAGCCTCAGGTAAGCAGAGAGTCACTTTGGTCTGTTCTGGAGAGTTGCATGATATGGTGGGAAAATTCTGTGTGTGTCCCTGTGTGAGAGGACAATATGTGCATGTGTACACACGTGTGCATGGGTCCGTTGGATTCTGCTTTCACACTGACACACCCATTTTGAAAAGTCTTTCCGAAGCCAGCAGGATTTTCACCTGCACCTGAGATTCCCTGCGGCCTCTCCAGGTACATTCACTGCGGCCCACCCATGCGAAAGGCCACTGCACTGACCCTTTGGTCTGTTTGTGCCCATCCTGGAGCACACGTCAGGGCAGCATAGTGCGCCATGTGGGATATCAGTGCCTTGCAGGATGGGGCTTTCCCTTTTACAAGATGAGAAAGGTAACCTATTCCTCAAGCTGCTTGATACCAGCCCCAAAGAGAGCCCTGCCCTGAAGGTGTCAGTTCCAGACTGAATCCCCCCCCCCTTCCCAGCAAGAAGAACTCCCCCCACATTGCATTGTGTTAGTCAGACCCACATCATAACTGACTGGCTCAGACATGAAGTCCAACTAGCTCCACATCCTGCCCTAACAGTGCCCAGACCCAGCTGCCTGTAAGGAAGGTTGCATATTAGGAAAAACTGTTTCTCTAGGTGGGTGGGGAAGCACTGGAATGGGTTACGTGGGGTGGGGGTGGAGTCTCCAGCCCTAGAGATTTTGAAGTCCCAGCTTGACAAAGCCCTGGCTGGGTTGATTGAGAGGGGGTTGGTCCTACCTAGGGCAGAGGGCTGGACTTAATGACTCCTGAGGTCTCTGCCAGCCCCGGGGGTCTGTGATTCTAAGGTCCAGGAACCTGCAGTGGCTGACGTGGCCTTATCATAGAACCCTAGAACTGGCAGGGCCCTCGAGAGGTCCCCTGCCCTCACGCTAGATTTCAACCTGGGGTTTGATTGTTATAAGTTGCCTTGAGCCCTGAAGCAGGAGGTTTCCCATCCCCGCCAATTTGCTAATGCCAGTTATAATAACTGCATATTTTCGCTATTCATAGACACGCCCAGCCCCTTTTTAACCTCTTGGAGCCTGTGTCCTGAGCAATGCGGCGTGACCATGAGCTGCACCCTTGAGTGACTGGCTGTGCAGGGAAGCTATTTCCTTCCCTCTGGAAGCTGATAGCTTTTAATTTCACTGGTGTTTGAGGCAGGGAGATTAGAGGCTGCTGATCTCCCTTCTCCAGACCCGTCAGAATTTGCTGACTTTTATCATCTCCCCTCTTCCATGGCACCTCTCTTAGTAGCCCTGGTTTCCATGTCTCTTCAGAGCATTTCCCCAGGTGGTTGATCAGTTTCTTGCCCTCTTTTGGGCCCCCTCCATTTCTGCCAGGCTGCTCAGCCAGAGGAGGCTGCACCATTGGCTAATGCAGTAGTGGTATAATAGTCTCCACTGCCCTGTTCTCTGGGTCTCCTCGCACTTGGTTAGCTTGTCAGCCATGGCTGCTCACTGAGCAGCCATCCACAGCGGGGCCCAGCCGCTTTCCCTGAGCCAGCACACGAGGGGAATGAGAAATTCACAGATTTCCTGTGACGTTCCATTGCTGTTGTGTTGTCCATCCGTCCAGCAGGCTGAGGTCTGTGGCGTTCCTCACAGGCCCTGCTGGCCCTGATTAACCTGGATAACTTTGCGTCATGTGTTTGGGTTCTCTACACTCATGACAGGGCTACTAATCACCCCCAATTTGAACGGACAGTACAGGGATCTCCCAGGGACTGTTCCCCCCCCCACCCCTCGCAAGTCACCAGAGCTGTGTCGCACACTGCTGGGCTATGTACCCCTAGGGCCTGCTCAGCCCCCTGGCTCAGTGAGGTGGGGCAGAGCAGCATATGTCTTTCATACATTTCTCACTCATGCACTAACCACATCTTTGTTTTTTTCTCTCCTCCTGCCTCCTGTGTGTGTGTCTGGTCCTGAGCCCAGGTCGATGTTTCATTTGTCTCCATAAAGCATCATTCCTTGTATCACACCTGAAGCCCGACAGCCTTTGGGCACGGTCACACCGCAGCATGGCCATCTCATCACGCCTTGCCCTGTGGGAGCAAAGGGAAAGTGAGGACACTCACATCTTTGTTTTTTTCTCTCCTCCTGCCTCCTGTGTGTGTGTCTGGTCCTGAGCCCAGGTCGATGTTTCATTTGTCTCCATAAAGCATCATTCCTTGTATCACACCTGAAGCCCGACAGCCTTTGGGCACGGTCACACCGCAGCATGGCCATCTCATCACGCCTTGCCCTGTGGGAGCAAAGGGAAAGTGAGGACACTCCAGCCAGGAGGGGGCGTCCCCTGCGGTCAGCCTCCACCGAATGTGGCATGTCTCCCTGGAGGGCAAACTCTCAGGATGCTTAGAGGGAGTGAAGGGTTCTCAATTGCACAGTAGCAATGCTTCCAGCAGGGAGCGAAAGGAGCACACCCAGCTTTAACCATTTGCTAGCCAGCACTTCTTGTATGCTTGGATTCACATAGCGCATTAAGAGTTGGCATCTCATAATCAGAACTCTCTTATCACTGCCTGTGCATGTTCCATGAATGCATCTTCTAAGCCTTCTAGCTACTAACACACAGGAGGCCATTACATGTGTGGTGTTGTGAGTTCTTTTCTCTACTCTCTTGGGAGCAGATGTCCCCTGCCAGCCAATTCCAAATAAAAGAAGAGGGTTAAAATATGCTTGAAAAGTACAATGCGAATATCCTTGTCCCTCTTTGCAACATCCACATTCTTTGTGAAGCATGTGAGGCAGACACCAAGCCCCTGAAGGTCAGGACAAGTCTTTCCACTGACTTCAGAGAGCTTTGGAAGAGGGCCTGAAATATACCCACTCTTGTAAGAGAAAGACAATCTTTTTGGACCTGCTTCTGCAAAGTGTTCTGGGGCTGCTGAGCCAGGGGACAATAGAACATTGCAGAGCCAGCACATGGCATGTGCAGAGTAAGCAATTGCTTAGAACCCCAAGCAGCTCAAGGACCATGCCCTGTTAATTATTGTGTTTGTGTTATTAGTGTTGTTAGTGTGGGCAGGGCACCAAAATATTCCCACCTTATGACCCTCTGGGGGCAAGTACCAGCACATATTAAAATGCTAGATAGGTGGACTTCCCTCTGCCTGCATACAGGGGGATTGATGAAAACTCATCCTGCCCTTCTTTATATCACACAAAGTAGCTAGTGGCTTTTAGTCAACTGAAAGGTTTTTTTTAAAGGCCCCACATCTTGTTCAGCCCAAATTGAAAAATGTGTAGGAAGCGTCTCAAATGTCAGAAGCCAAGGAGGGAGAGCTAGTAAGTGGGGTGCTGGCTAAACTAGACGGCCCCATATTATACCACTTTCCAGCAAAGTCCCCAATAATTGAATTGGGGGATGTCACTTAATTTCCCTTGGGCCTCTGGAAATCTCCCCTGCAGTTCTATGTTGGGTATTTCCTTTATGTTTGCTTTGTTTTTGGAGAGAAATTGGTGCTGCTAGTCTGGGGCTTCACAAGTGACCCTACAACAAAGCTGCTTGGACCGTCATTACCACTAGGGTTGTAAGTGATTAATCAGCTAGTCGACTAACCAGTAAACAAAAGCTTATCAGCTAGTCGACACACTAGTCGACTAGTCACTCCCCTCCCCCCTTGCTGCCTCTATCACAAAGAGGCAGCAAGGGGGGGAAGAGGAAGGGAGGAGTCGGTTCCCCCCAGTTCCAGCTCCGTGGGAGGGGGCAGGAGCACAGCATGAAGCCTGGGGCCAGTGGGAAGTCTTGCTGATCCCGGGCTCCACTCGGGCACTTCAACTATGAAATGCACAAGAGCCCCAGTGAGGGTCCAGCACTAGCCCCAAGCTCCATGCGGGCACATCCACTTTGAAATGTCCAAAAGCCCCTGCCAGGGTTCTTGTGCATTTCAAAGACAGAATGCAGAAGTTCTTATCAACTAATTGAACAGTCAATGGAAATCCCATCAACCATTCGATTAATTGATCGAAATGTAACATCCCTAATGCGCACAGGCAATGCCATGACAACCCAGTGACTGTTGCCCCAAGACTCCTAAGCAACCCTACCGTAACAAACCAATGCACTGCCCTGCAGCTCACTGGCAAACCTGAAGGAGACACAGCCATGGGGAGGGAATAATTTCCACTCAGGCAGGCATCCCGTTCCAGACAGTGGTGAGTGGTGGTAGTGTGGTGACCAATGAGAGCATCTGAATTGTTGGGAAGAGCTCTGCAAATGCCTGGCCTTGACTCCCTCACTTTGCTACCGTAACAAACCAATGCACTGCCCTGCAGCTCACTGGCAAACCTGAAGGAGACACAGCCATGGGGAGGGAATAATTTCCACTCAGGCAGGCATCCCGTTCCAGACAGTGGTGAGTGGTGGTAGTGTGGTGACCAATGAGAGCATCTGAATTGTTGGGAAGAGCTCTGCAAATGCCTGGCCTTGACTCCCTCACTTTGCTACCCCGTGTGATGCACTTGACCTGTCATACATGTGCTCCTTTAAGACATGTATGCTGACTAACTGCTCCCCGAGGGGTCTGAGCCAAGGAGCAGACCTCTGCCAGGGCCCGTGAAGCATGCCATCCAACAATGTAGCCTCTGCTTTTGCAAACAGATCCGGGAAGAGGACCGGAGTCCACCCCCTACTTCTCCTCCTCCACTTTTCTCCGTGATTCCTGGGGGATTCATCAAACAGCTTGTTCGGGAAACAGAGAAAGAATCCAAGGTAGCTAAAGTGAAAGAGAGAGGTGCCTTGAACACCAAAGAAGACGTAAGTACCAGATGAAGTGTGCCCTGCCTTCGGTGTCCTGGGTCCTACACTGTCACGAGGCTCAGTTGTGGGTGTAATCCCCTCTATTGAGTATGTATGGCATGCCCCTCCCCCCAGTTGGCTGGGCCAGAGGATACTGAACTACTACAGCTCCCAGACGGAGGAGTTACTCCTGTAGCTCAAGTAGTTACAGATGGTGCTTTTAGTGCTGGATGTCCCAGGTTTGTTCCACACTGAGAACCTGAAAGGGCTCCGATACCTGGTCAGCCAGGGGGATGGTTGTACCCTGGAATTGTCCATGTGCTCGAAGTGGGGATAGTTGTTGTCCATGGTGGTCTGGGGGCTACAGTTCGGAGTTGCTAAGGGCAGCCAGCAGTGGGAGGGAGGGATGTTAATTAACGTTTACAACACTGACTGGTTAAATGCTAGGTCTAACTGGTTAAGCCTGGAGCAACCCACCAGCCTGTGGTGTGATGGGCTGCAGCCAAGGCAGGGGGAGCTGTTCTGGTCCTGGCTGTGGGCGATGGGGGCATATCTGGCCCCACCTTGTGCCCTGGCCCCATCGTGGCTGCGGGGGGGGGGAAAGGTTGGGCCTGCTGTGGCTGCAGGCAGAGTCCTACATGACAGACCAGTTAACTGGTTACTTTGTAAGCCGGCTGGTAAGCACCTGCTCACTGGGTCACTGGTTAACCTCTCATACCCCTACTGGGAGGGAGCAAAGGAGAAGCTGCTAGTTTTATTCTTGTTTGCACGGCTGTGTGTCTAAGAGATCACAAGTGCTGGAGCCTGATTGGAGAGGCACCTTTCCATGTGGGAGATAGTCCTGGAGGAATCCAGTGGCAGTGCATCTGGCTAGCAGAGCTAGCTGTCACTAGACAATACCGTCACAGCAGGAGGGAACCTGGCCGGGCACTTCAAACCAAGCTGATAGGTGGTCCAGGAGCACCGTCAAATCCAAATGTATCCCTCTAAACTGGAAGCTTCTTTTAGTTACTCCAAATCTGTCTCTAAAATCAAACTTTCCTCAAACCCCAGGCTGACGAGTTCACTGAGAGTTTGTTCCTCTCTAGAGGAGCCCACAGGCTCAGCCTCGTCTTGGTTTTGTTTTTAGCCTCTGGGGCAGCCTGAGGACAACCACGCCCAGCAGTTTGGGATAAAAGATGAGAACATCCTTGGAGGAGAAATGGCAAGTGATGGGCAACTGCTGCAGAACGGCCTGAACGGAGAGCAGCACGAAGGGGAAGTGGCAGCGGAAATTCCTCCGAAAAAGCCTCTTCCCTTCAAGAGAGGGGTGAAGAGGAGCAACGTCAAGAAAGTCACCTCTCCCACCAGGGAGACAGCAGCAGCTGCCCCCAAACCAGAGGAGACAGTCCAGCCAGGTGAGTCCATGGCTGCCAAATCGCCTTGTCCTGAGCAGAGCCCGAAAGAACAAAGTCCAGGAGTGACTGCCCCAGTTCGTGCCCCAGTGATTGGAAAGGGATTTCAGCGCCAGCGTGAAGATCCTGCAAAGGAGGGAAGTGTGCTGAGGAGAAAACGTCCTGAAAGTTCAGAGAAAGAGAAGGCGGTAATGAAGAAGCAACAGGCACCCCAAATCAAAGCTGAAATCAAGAAGAAGCAGGGCGAGATCAAGGAGAAACCAATGGAAGTCAAGAAGGAACAAGAGGAAATCAAGGGAAAGACAGCACAAATCAGGGAGGAACCAGTGGAAATCAGGGCGGAACAAGGGGAGATCAAGGAGGAACAAAGGGAGATCAAGGAGGAACCAATGGAAATCAAGGAGGAACAAGGGGAGATCAAGGAGGAACAAAGGGAGATCAAGGAGAAGCCTGTGGAAATCAAGGAGGAACCTGGAGAAATCAAGGAGCCAGGGGAAAGCACAGATTCAAACAAGGTGAATTTGTGCCCTGTCCATGTGTCTTGCAGTTCAGCTAGATTATAGAGTCCTGCCCTATGGATTGAGAATAAAACTCCCTTTGGGTATGTCTACACTACAGTGTTATTTTGAAATATCTTATTTCGAAATAGTTAATTCGAAATAGTTTATTTTGAAATAACGCATCTACACACAAAATGCATTTCGAAATAGCGTTTTGCTATTTTGAATTAGCACGTCCACACTGAATTGCATTTAAGGCTGGCCGGAACCAGGTCTAGCAGAGCATCGGGTCAGGAGTTTATTTGTATGGCTGCTGCCTGAGGCTATCTGAGGTTTGTGCTTAAAGAGGTCCCCACCCTGGGCAGCCAGTTCTCAGCTTTTCCTGCTTGCTTGCCTACCTCGATGAGGGACAGCAAAGCATTATGTCTCTGCGTGTTCTGGTTGCCCTCACTCGGGACACCACAGCACTCTGCAACACGGAGCCAGTGCTGCCCCTGGGCACTCTGGTGCTTCTCGTGGACCCGTTGCTGTGAGCCTGGCTGCACTTTCTGCAGGCTGCCATCTGGGAGGTCCATTGGGGGGCTGTCAGTATCCAGGAGGCCCTGCAGGAGAGCTTCCACCCTGAGGAGCACTAAGAGCCTCCCCGGTCTGCCCCACTGGGAGCTTGTGCTTCATTCTTCCCCCACATCATTCCACTTACCCTCCCAGCCCCCCTTCCTGATGTCAAATCAAATACACGTATTTTCATGAACACAAACCCTGGGGAGAGGGGATGAAACTGGTGAAACTGGAGAAAGGAGATGGGAGAGGGGAGGGGAAAACCTGGGAGGAGGGAGCTGGAAGGGGGAAGCAAGGGGAAGAAGGGGGAGGGGAAGCTCAGGGCTCAGGGTTGGGGATCTCGCCAGACCAACTTGATTTTAATGCAAACCTGCTCCTAAGTTCACATGTGTTCTTTGGTGACCAGGCTGGCAGTTATCCTGCCATAGACGGCCACATTCATCCGTCTAGTGTGGAAATCATGAACGTTGGGGGCATCCCCCCCAAACCTGAATAAGGTCCATGATCTCCACTGTGTGTCACCTTTGGTGGCCAGGCTGGCAGGTATCCTGCCATAGATGGCCGCGTTCCTCCATATAGTGCAGAGATCATGGATGTTGGGGGCATCTCCCCTAAATCTAAATAAGGTCTACCCTGATCTCCACCCTGAACCAGGAAGGCGCCCACCTTCTCCAGGCCCTGGCAGGCTCCTGGGAGCTGGCAGACTGCTCCTGGGGAGTG